CGCGGGCGCGAAGGGCGGGGGGAGGCGGGGCAAGCACCCAGATGAACCCGAAAGGGTGCAGAGAGGATGCCGTCGAGGAGTGGAGCGGCGTCGCACTGACACACGGGGGCGAGATACGAGATCTGGATATATGCAAGCATTGTGTGTTGCACCCTGTCTACACAGGTATCTATATGTAGATACACATACCGACATACCGACATACAGACAGACAGACAGACAGACAGACAGACAGACAGACAGACAGACAGACAGACCGAGAGACAGACAGACAGACAGACAGACAGACAGACAGACAGACAGACAGACAGACATACATACACACATACACACATACATGCATACACACATACATACATACATACATACATACATACATACATACATACATGCATGCATGCATGCATGCATGCATGCATACATACATACATACATGCACGCATACATACATACATGTATACATACATACATACATACATACATACATACATACATACATACATACATATATACATACATACATACATGCATACATATATACATACATACATTAATACCTACATACATACATACATACATACATACATACATACATTCATACATACATACATGCATACATACATGCAGGCATACATACAGACATGCATGCATACATACATACATACATACATACGTACATACATACATGCATGCATACATACATACGTACATACATACATACATTCATACATACACACACATACATACATACATTTATATATATGTATATATATATACATACACACATGCATGCATGCATGCATACATACATACATACAAACATACATACATACATACATACATGCATACGTACATACATACAAACATATATACATACATGCATACATACATACATACATACATACATACATGCATGCATGCATGCATGCATGCATACATACATACATACATACATACATACATACATACATACATACATACATACCGGCCTTCCGGGTCTCCACAAACGCCTTGCCAGCAGACCCAGAGCGATCCGAGGGGTCATCAGAAAGGCTCAAGGGAGGCCCCATACAGCACAAGAGCGCTCCAAGAGGGACTCCAATTGCGTCAGGACGGCCCAAATGACCCCCAAGGCACCCCAAAAAGCTTTCCAAGGGGCCTTCAAAACGCAGAAATCGTCCCATTCCCTTTGTAAAACTTACAATTTTAGCATATTCGCCTTTCGGATTTCATCAGCTTTCAAGACGGTTTCAAAGCCCCCGAGATCGCCTCCAGACGCCCCAAAAGGCCCCCAAGAAAGCTTCAAGACGGTCGAGCCGGGCCCCACGATCGCCCACGAGAGCCCCAAGACAGCCCATAATGGAACCAAGAGGCCCCCCAAGGGCTTCCAGCACAGTCCCAAAAGGGCCATGGGAGGCCCCCCGAAGTGCCCAAGATGGGTCCAAGGGGGCTCCAGCGGGCCCAAGCTCCCCAAGACGGCCCAAGAAGGCTCCAGGACGGCCCATGAAGGCGCCAAAACGGCCCACGAGGGCCCCGAAAACACCCCACGATGTTTCCGAATGCCAACATAAAGACCCCCAAGGCACCCCAAAAAGCTTTCCAAGGGGCCCTCAAACCATAGAAATCGTCCCCCATTCGCTTGGTAAAAGTCACAATTTTAGCATATTCGCCTTCGGATTTCATCAGCTTTCAAGACGGCTTCAAAGCCCCCGAGACCGCCTCAAGACGCTCCAAAAGGCCCCCTCGAAAGCTTCAGGACGGCCGAGCCGGGCCTCACGATCGCCCACGAGAGCCCCAAGACAGCCCATAATGGAACCAAGAGGCCCCCCAAGGGCTTCCAGCACAGACCCAAAAGGGCCATGGGAGGTCCCCAGAAGTGCCCAAGATGGGTCCAAAGGGAGCTCCAGCGGGCCCAAGCTCCCCAAGACGGCCCAAGAAGGCCCCAGGACGGCCCATGAAGGCGCCAAAACGGCCCACGAGGGCCCTGAAAACACCCCCACGATGTTTCCGAATGCCAACATTCATCGATTTTGCTCCCATCACATTTCACATTGTGACCCAGTCGTTGAGGGTCTCGTGGCATGCAGCGAAGATGCCCGACGATGCCCCGTACGAGTTGCATATGCATGTGCATAGCCGTACACACATACATTTACATGAACATATGTACGCTGTATACACACATACAACAATGCAACTATATTGTATACACCTAGACATTGATACGGACCGTGCATGCACGTGCGAGTGTATACATGCATGCGCGCATGTACGCACGCACGCATTCCGCTTGCGTGCAAAACTCAAAGGACCAAGGTGCATGGCGCGCAGCGCCAATGCATATATATATATATATATATATATATATATATACACACACACTGATTTCCCGGAAACCCCGCCACACACACACACACACACACACACACACACACACAAACCCCTCTAAACCGGACCTCGGACGCCCTTTCGGACGTCTCGGCAGCCCCCTGGACGCCCTTGGAAAAGGTCCGCTGGCCCTCCCGGGCCTCCCAGGGCGCCTTGTCGGGCCTTGCGACCAGACTCAATGCGACCAGAGGGGTCATCGGAGAGGCGCAACAGAGACCCAAAACAGCAAAAGAGCGTTCCGGGAGGAACCTCGATGGTCTGGAGACGGCCCAAGAGGCCCCCAAGACGCCCCAAGAGGCCGTCAAGAGAGCCCCGAAGAAGCACAAATCGTCCCATTCCTTTTGGTAAACTCATACTTTTTGCATATCCGCTTGTTGGGTCTTCGCAGCGTCCAAGACGGCCCGATGGGCCCACGAGATCGCCCCAAGACGGCCCAAGAGGCCCCCAGAGGGCTTGCAGACGGCCCAAAGGGCCCAAAGACGGTCCCAGAGAGCCCCGAGACTGCCCACAAGAAACCCAAGATGCCCCCAGAAGGCTCCTTCAGAGACGGCCCAGGAAGGCCCCAGGCCGGCCCAAAACAGCCCCAAACGCGCCAAGACGGCGTTCTCCTACGAAGTACATCGGGCTGGCCCGACGATCCTGGTTCCACGCTTGAGGCTCGAAGTTCAAATTCCGCGATCGAGAGAGACAGGTAATGGATCTAGATTCGAAAGTCGACGATCGAAGACTTGCTGAATGCCTGGAGCCCTCCAAACATTCAGGAAGCGACCAAAAATCGATGTGTTCGTAGCCACTGCGACTTGTTCGGCGCGTCATGGAAACGTTCCATACTTCCTCAAAAGACCTTCGCGCGAAAATTATCCTGGCCAAGGACCCAACCATATGCAATTGTGGGTACCGCAATTGTGAACATCTTCTTCGGTGGAGCTCCCTATGGGCCTATAGGGCCACGATGCGCTGCTCTGGGTGGGCGGAACGCATGCGGGCGGTAGCACTGGGGCCGTCGGTGGAGATCCCTATAGGGCCACGAAACGCTGTATTTGGTGGGGGGGCGCATGCGGGCGGAAGCACCGGGACCTTCGGCTGAGCTCCCTATGGGGCCACGAAACGCTGTACTTGGTTTGGGGGAGCGCACGCGGGCGGTAGACCTGGAAGCTACGGTGGAGCTCCCTATGGGGCCACGAAATGTGTGAGGGGTGTGCCACATTGGGTTTTCGGGACGCGTGCGGGCGGTGGCACTGGGGCCTTCGGTGGAGCTCCCTGTGGGATCACGAAACGTTTGAGGGGTATGCCAAATTGAGTTTTCGGGGCGCATGCGGGCGGTGGCACTGGCGGTTTCGGTGGCGCTCCCCATGGGGCCACGAAACGTGTGAAGGGTGTGCCAAATTGTGTTTTCGGGACGCACGCGGGCGGTGGCATTGGGGCCTTCGGTGGAGCTCCCTATGGGGCCACGAAACGTGTGAGGGGTGTGCCAATTTAGGGTTCCTGGGCGCATGCGGGCGGTCCCACTGGGGGCTTCGGTGGAGCTCCCTATGGGGCCACGAAACGCTGTACTGGGTGGGTGAAACGCAAGAAACAGGGAAGAGGAGGAGGAGGAGGAGGAGGAGGAGGAGGAGGAGGAGGAGGAGGAGGAGGAGGAGGGAGGCAGGGAGGAACGCGGGGACCGTCTCTTCAAAACGAGGACCCAGCACCCCAGGACGGTTGGGAAAAAAACATCATTCCTTCCCCGCTCCTGCGCACAAGCGTGCAAGCGCATCGGGCGAATGCGGTGTCAGCAGGCACCAGGGATATCAGAAAAATGAACCGGTCGCCCGTCCAAGCCTCGAGGTCCCCGCTGCTGAAGCAAGCCATGATTGAGTATTTTGCCAGAGAAGGGTCCGGAACAAGGCGCATGGAGCGAAGCGCCAATGCAGTCTTGTTGATATATATATATATATATATATATATATATATATATATATATATATATATATATAATAATATATATATATATATATAATATATATATATATATTCATATATATATATATTTGTATATATTCATATATATATATATAATTATATCGTAGGAGAACCGTGAAGCAGAAGGCATCAGAGTATATCCCTGCGTTTGTCACTATTCCTAGTCGACTGTCCCCCTTCCCCTCACCTTCTAAAGTGATCCCGATTTCAAATTCACAGAATCGAGCTTATGCAATTGAACCGAAATTATGTCCGAAACACTTTCCGACATGCTGAAAATTGTGGAAGATGAAAAGGTCCTTGTGTGCAGATGTCCTATACATATAAGTTCCCAAGGTCCGCGAACAATGGAGCCTTGCCCTCTCGAAGAGCGCTCGGGGTGGCGCAGTCTATGGGGCGCAAGCTGTCTGGTGTAATCGATGTGCCGCAGCCGATGTGGCGCAAACTGTGGAACACGAGCTGGAGGGCGCCTGGATCCCCAGAAGAAACAGCGTGAGTTGCAGCAGCAGCAGCAGCACTCAGGGGTCCGCGTTCGGCAGCGTGTCGGCGACTAAGTACCGGATGGGACACGAGCTGGAGGGCGCCTGGATCCCCAGAAGGAACAGCGCGAGTTGCAGCAGCAGCAGCAGCAGCAGCAGCACTCGGGGGTCCGCGTTCGGCAGCGTGTCGGCGACGAAGTACCGGATGGACTGCACGGCGTTGAAGGACAGAGTCAGGCCTGCGCGGCGCCCCCTGCCCCCGCAGCAGGAGAGCATATATGCTCGCCATCGCTCGGACGTCCATGTTTTGTGTTTTTGCTCGGTTTCGTGCGTGTTTTTGTTTTGCTCTTTGGTCGAGGATGGTCCTCGATGGTTCTCGCCGAGAAAAAAATGCACACGTCCAAGCGATGCCAGGTATGGGAGGGGGGCGGGGAGGACGGGGAAGGAGGATGGAAGAAGAGAGGGGGGGCTTGGCGTCCCTAAGAGAGCTCCCTTCACAAGCATCGGTGGGCCCCCACGCCGTGCGGCACGTCAGCTGCGAGACGCGCAGCTCCGGCGCAGGCACGCCTCGTGGCCGCCCGAGCGGCTCGAGCACACCCGAAGCTCCTGCCAGTCAGAAACCGCCCTGCCAGGCCTGCGTACCCCGGGCTGACCTGGGGGAGGACGAGGAGGACGAGGAGGAGGAGGCAGGGGGCGTAGGAGAAGGCAGGGGGAGGAGGCAGGGGGCGCTGGAAACGGGGGAGGAGAAGGCAGGGGGATGGGAAGGCAGGCGACGGAGGAGGCCGAAAGCGGTCACGGGGACAACCCATCGCGGCGGGGCCCATGACGTCGTCCTCGCACTCCTCGGCCTCCTCGTCCCACGTCTCCTCCGACCTGAGCGGGCCGCTCAACACTCGCGAGTGGAGTGAGCGAGAGAGAGAGAGAGAAAGAAAGAAAGAAAGAAAGAAATAAAGAAAGAAAGAAATCAAGAAAGAAAGAGAAATAAAGAAAGACCATGAAAAAAACAAAAACAAAAAAGAGGAGGAGCCCAGCGTACCAGCAAAAAAAGAGGAGGAGGAGGAATATCAGGAAGAGGAGAGGGGAGGGGAGGAGTAGAAGGAGAAGGAGGAGGAGGAGGAGGACGAGGAGAGGAGCTGATGAGGATGAGAGTGAGGAGGAGAAGAGGAGGGAGAGAGGAGAGAGGGGGGAAGGCAAGCTGGGTGCGTCCGCTCCATATCCGACGCCCTGCCCCTCCCTCACGTCCCTTCCCACTGTGCTGATGTGCTCTCCATCCGCCGACGGGTGTCGTAGCGGACCTGAAACTCCAAAATGGGCCCGCTTGTGCGATCCGCAATCGGGAGATCCCGGAAGAGGGGAGGGAGGGAGGGAGGGAGGGAGGGAGGGAGGGAGGGAGGGAGGGAGGGAGGGAGGCGGGAGGAGGGAGGAGGGAGGAGGGAGGAGGGAGGAGGGAGGAGGGAGGAGGGAGGAGGGAGGAGGCTGCGTACATTGGAGGATGAGCAGGAGGATGAGCAGGAGGAGCAGCGCAGCAGCAGCAGCAGCAGCGCAGGAGGAGCGGCAGGGGCAGGAGGACCAGCGCAGGGCGGAGGAGGGAAGGGAGCGGGGCGACAACGACTAATACTTGCTATCTCAACATAGCGTTTCGAGGTGATAATGAAGTTCGGCCTCAGCGCTCGCCGCCCAATTTGAATTTTGTATAGGGCGACGATAATCAACTCTAAACACTGAAGGGGGGGGTCCCTTTATTATCATCGGCATGCGGTTATGCAGGAGCCAGATCCAGAACTGTGGCCCGCGCTGGGGCGAGAACCCTTCTGAACGACGGGAGCAAAGCGCCCATCCCGAAATGAGGCCCGGCGGGATGGATTGGACAAACACACCGGTGAGCACATATCACACGCACAACAACAACAGCAGCAGCAGCAACAACAACAACAACAACAGCAACAGCAACAACAACAACAACAACCACAACAACAACAACAGCAACAACCACAACCACAACCACAACCACAACAACAACAACAACAACAACAACAACAACAACAACAACAACAACAACAACAACAAAAGCAACAACAACTGCATCAGCAGCAGCAACAAGAAACAACAAAACATCATGCGGAAAACAAACAAAAAAGAGAGAATAAGAAACAAGACAGAATACATATATATATATATATATACTAGAACCACGCGCGCGCTTCGCGCGCGCTTAGGTTCTAGCGCGGACTTCTCCGATAACGAATGCGAACTCGCACATAAGAGGAGCAGGCGGATGGGTCGGAGCATCATGGACATCAAGAGCACGGGTATCCTGGCCTTGCTCGCTCTCCTTCGCCGCTCTCCCCGTGATCCTGCTCCCGCATCATCGCAAACATTATCAACATCACTCTGAATAGCATCACCATCATCAACATCGTTGACGTCGTTGACTTCGTTACGATCACGATAATCTTTGACGCGGTCGCTGTCTTCGTCATCGTCATCGTCATCATCATCGTGCATCGCCGTCACCATCGGTGAGCGAATCGTCATCACCGTCGTCATCAACATTATCATCCGAACCCTAACTTCATCAGATTTGTCATCATCACCATCATCACCATCACCGCCACGATCTCTGTCAGCATCGTCATCATCATCATCATGTTCATCATCATCATCATCAACATTAGCATCATCATCGTCGTCGCCATCGCGCACGTTGTCATCGTCAGAATCGTGCCTCATCAAAAACATCATGCACTCCCCCATCATCCAAATCATCATCAACACCACCGTCATCAACATTCCCATCACCATCACAACCACCACCATCACCATGGCCAGCACCATGACCATCACCATGACCATCACCATGACTACGGCCATCATCATCATGATCACCATCATCATCATCATCATCATTAGCATGAGCATGGTCATGGCCATCGCCATCGTCATCATCATCATCATCATCGTCTTCGTCATAATCATCATGAATTTCACGTCTATCACCGCCGCGGTAGGCCGTGCACGTCGTCACCGTTATCGCCAATTTTTTGAGCCCTCTTGTGCTCTCGTGATCCCCGGGGGCGTCTTGTTCCTGTAGGGGTCTTCCCGGGAATCGTCGTGGGCCCGAGGGCTCGAGATGCTAACCCCACCAGCCCTTTAGGGCGTGAGTGGTCTAAGGAGCTCGTTCTGCTAAACCTCCTTATTCCACTTCGGGGAGGGGGTTCCCCTTATCCCCTCTCCCTGGGCCTGGAGGGAGGGTTCCGCGACCCCTTTCCTCCTCTTCCTTTTGCTCTTCCCTCTCCTCTTCCTCATCCTTCACTTGCTGTTCCTCCTCCTCCTCCTCCTCCGCCTCCTCCTCTTCTTCGTTACCGTCCTCGTCCTCCCCCTCGGCCTCCTCTTCCCCCCCTCGCCTCCTCCTCCTCCTCCTCCTCCTTCTTCTCCTCGCCCCTCCACGCAGGCCCCCGACAAGTTTTCCGCAAGCGCATATCGCGGCTGTTGTTCCGCCCCGTATTGGGCGCCTGACGCCGCGCCTCGTATAAGCGCCTGACGCCGCGCCGGGGAGGGGGCGCGCGCCTACGAGGCGCGCGCCGAGGGATTCCGGCGCGCCTGGCATAGGCGCGAGCCGAAGGATTCCGATCTACTGGGCACCTAGTCGGACGCAGCGCCAGTGTCTCTTCTTAAAAAGGAGAGGGGGCTTATTTGTGTCATGTTCGGTTGTTCATATGTCACCATCGGCTTCTGCAGAGGGGGGGCGCGGCCACCACACTCCGAACGAGAGGAAATGTAGACAGACATCCGCCATAGCAGCACTGTGGCCTTGGCGGGCGCCATGCTGGGCGCGGGCGCGGGGAAGCTCGCGCATCACACATTACGCGCGTCTCCAGCGGGGCGCATAAATCAATTTCACCACCTGGGAGCATCTGGGCAGGGACAGAAGTGGACGGTCTGGACACGAATAGTACAGATTGGGAAGGGCTGATCTCAAAGTGAAGCATCTGAATAAGGCCGTTTGGGGAAAGCTGATCTGAAATCGCGGGATCGACCGCTCAGGACTGACGCCCGCGATCCGATGTAGGCGATCTGAGGGCAAGCGCGGCCTGGCCTGATGGCGTGCCGACGGCGGGGGGGGCAGGGGGAGAGAGCGGGCGCCGCTAGCGATCAGTGGGGACAGGGGTTGTTCAGTAAAGTGCGCGCAGACTGTTCCGGGGAGGCGCGGCCGGAACGTTTTGGCGTTTCGGAGCCCGGCGACCGTGATTCAGACCTCAGAGGGGGGGGCCCCTGGGATGGGCGGGGGGGTCGCGCCAGACGGGGTGCGTCCTGTCCGCGGAACAACCGAGAGTGTCTAGACAACGGGGTCTTCGGGGGACCTAGTAGATGCATTCGGGAATGGGGCGGCATTCATCCAAGCGTTCCGAAAGGTGTGCGCAGCATGTTCCGGGGAGGGCTTCCCGGAACGTTCGGCGCCAGAACGGGTGTGCCCTGTGTGCGGACGGACCGAGATTTCCTAAACACCGAGTCTTCAGGAGTCTTATTAGATGCATTCTGGAATGGGGGTGGCGTCCACCACAGCGCTCGAAAAGCTGGCCGGCGGGGGGCAGCATGCCTTCACATGGCGGGCTGCGGGCCGATGGGGATTGCGCTGGCGCTGCTCCACAGGTTGGTAGCGCTCAGATTGACATGCCGCGCCAGCCGATGATCCCGGTGCCCCACCACGCGTTCAGGGTCCGGGGCGTGGGGACCACGCTGCCGTCCCGGAGCTTCTTCTGGCAGGACACCTCCACGCGCTGGAAGGTCACGACCCCCGTCGGGAGGGGGCGGAGCGCAAGCGCAGCCCACACTGTCATGTTGATCCGCCCGCTGCCGTTCGGCTCCTGGAGCGTGATGCCGCGCCGGGATTCGTTCACCTTCATGACGGTGGTGTGGTCCACGATGATTCCGGACAAGTTCAGGATGAGCGTTCCCTGGAAGGATGCCGGGATCGCGTTGAAGGGCGTGGATGCTGCCGCCCAATCTGTGCGAAGAGGGCGCGGCGGGTCAATGGTGGCAACCGCCACCGCACAGATGGGGCCTTTCGTGCCGGAATCGTCCCAGGCCCAGCTGTGCAAGAGCTGGGCCTGGGCGATCTGGACATCTTCAAGCCACTCAGTGATGGGCGTCGGCGAGATTGGAGCACGGGTGGCAATCCTCGAAGACGCTGGCATGTGAAGGGTCAGCGCCGGGGCCTGCTCGAAGATGTTCTTGGCCACCGGCGCGGAGCTCCACACTGTCACGCCGACCTGGGGAGGGGGCGCGCGGGGGGGGGTGTCACGCGGGAGCGCGACGGGGCCTAGCAGAGCAGTCAGGGATCGGATGGCCGGCTCTCTTGAGCGGGCAGAGGGGAGGGGTGGCAGAAGAGGTGATGCCCGGAGACGCGCGTGCCGCTGAGATGGGGGAGGTAAAGATTTCCCGCGGGGAAGACCTGCCCGTTGCCGGTGCCCCAGACGCGGCCCTTGGGGCCGTTCTGGGCCTTCTCCGCGTCCGAATGGATCTGCGATCTCTCCGTGACCCACATGTTGAACGTCACCCACTGGCCCGGGAGATTCCCCTCGAGGTCCGCGAGCTCGACCTCCGCCGCCATCGCGATGGGCGGGGGCGGAATCGGCCGCCCCGCCGGGCGCGGCGCCCGCGGCGGCGGGGCCGCGCCGATAGGCGCCCCGATGGGCAGGCGACCCGGGTCAGCGCGCAGCGCTGGCGGCATGACGCGCGGGGCGCGGCCTCCTTCGGGCGCGCCGGCGGCGGCGGCAGGGGGCGCGCCGCCTGTGGGCAAGGCGGCGCCCGCCAGCTCCGGCATCGCGCGGGCACCGGGAGCGACAGCGCCGTGGCCGGCAGTGGAAGCGCCA